GACAGCCTGCATGGCTCACAATCTTGCTGTTATCACTAACTCCTCTGAATTACAGCAAGAGCAGGAAGATAAATATAATACTGCAATAACAGCTCGATATCGAAGATCACTCTGCTGTGACATGCTCACACTTCAGCTCTAACACCATGATATGGTTGTCTAAGGTTTGAGGAGACTGAACAGCCTGCAATATATTAGCACACTTTTCATTTGAGAGATAGTGTCAGAAGCACAAGAACAACCCTGATTCACTGCACTGCTTTGGTTACTTCCCATCCTATATCAAGTGTTTTCTCGTCTCTCATTCCCAGACCAGATTTGTGGGACCAGTGACACGCTTGCCCTGCACAGGCAGAGTAACGTGAACAGGAAACAAACACTGGGGTTGAGATCTGGTGAGAAAAGATTTTTCTGTAGCTTCAGATATTAACATTACAAAAGACAACTTACAGCAACTCCTATTTTTAAGTTTCTCAAAGGAGATGTGAGATAATTTTAAGAAGCCTGTAAGATATTTGACATGCAGAAAGGACAACAGTCTCTGGCTGCCGAAGTGCTTTGTGTCTCCTCCAAGCCTACATTTGAAGTGTCACTGGCACACTGAGGACAGGGAGAGACACATAGCTCAGGGTTTTATTGTTTCTTTTAACTGACCCAGCTACAAGCCTGGCACCCAGCTACAGCATCACCTTCCCCTGAAACCAGTCATGCTTTTTCCTATGTGGCTGACTGCTGAACTGGCAAAAGCCACCTCTGCAAAACCGCTTTTGCCAGAACACCTTTCTCTGCTTGCATTAAAGAGGCAAAAATGGAGATAAAGCTGTTGCCAACAATATCTCTGCCTACTTGAGCAGACATTACAAGTGATAAAATAAACTGCCATTTCCTCAGGGTTTCAGCTCTCCAGTGCAAGACCAAAATGTGCTCCTCACAAAGGAACTCAGTGGTAGGTGGATAAACGTGAGAAGGAAAGCAGTGATGCCTGTTTCAGCTCCTCTATAAGCCATGGGATGTGCAGAACTATTAAAAAGTGGGGAACATAGAGGTGGAAAAGTCATTTCTATACGGATTGGAAACATTCCTGGAAAGAAGAGTGACGAACATATACAAGGAAAAGCTCCTCAGTCAGGATGTCGTTACTACTGTTTTTTGTATTTGGTTACTAAAAGTATCTTTTTAGGGAGCATTTAAAAAAAAAATGAAAAGACCTGAAAAGATTAAAACCCACATGTAGCTGTTCCCTCCAGCTCAGCATGCTTGTTAAACCCACAGGTCTTGCTGAAGTGAAAGGACAAATACACAAAAGAAAAGGGGATGAGGAGAGCACACACTTACTAAACAGTACTTGACATTTATCTTTGTTACAAAAAATTTTTAGGATGCTGGTGACTAATACATTTCCCTAATCTTTGACCAGCTTCAGAAACCCTTCCCATAAAGTCAAGGTCAGGACAAGGCTGGTGCCTTAATAAAAGAGGGAATGTGGCATCTCTAATGATTGCTTCTGGCTGTTTTTCTCCTTACCTACAATGCCACAGTAAGCATTTGCTTTCTTAAAGTGATGCAGAGCTCTCTGCTTTCCCTGCAAGTGGATCCTCCCTCCCCACCCCATGGCACAGCCAGGGACCTGATGGTGGACCTGTGAAATGGATGTGTCATGCTGAAGATGACAAATTTAGAGCTGCCTTCACAGAGAAGTTTGGTGAAGGGGTAAGAAGCCTGTTATCATGCAATTGCTTAGTACCTTAGATAACCTACTATTTATTTTAATGTTACACACCTGAGGGAGGCTTTGCTAATGAATCTATTTTTGTAGTACCATAAAGGTTGAAGTTTAAAGCTAAGTTTAGAGCAGAGACATATAAAAAATGCCAAACCAGGAAACAGCTTAATGAAAGCAGAGAGTAATCACAGCAAATTACAGTGAAATTTCGATGGGATTACATTTTGCATTCCCTAAACAAGCTGAGGAATTCATCTCACTTAGCATCGTTCCATTTTGCTGAGAACTCTTTGTAAGGATGTGCTATGTAAGTACTGTAATGCGATGCCATAAAAGCTGTCTTAAAACTTTCACTCTAAGATGCTTTTTGAAACAGAGTTTAGAATGACAGAGGAACAGCTCTGCAGACACCAAGGTTAGTGAAGAAGAAAGGGAGGAGGTTCTCCAGGTGCAGGAACAGAGATTCCCCTGCAGCCTGTGGTGCAGACCGTGGTGAGGCAGCTGTGCCCTGCAGCCCATGGAGGTCCATGGTGGAGCAGATACCCACCTGCAGCCCAGGGAGGACCCCACACTGGAGCAGGGGGAAGCCCAAAGGAGGCTGTGACCCCGTGTGAAGCCCACACTGGAGTAGTCTGATCCTGAAGGACACACCCCATGGAAGGGACCCATGCTGGAGCAGTTCACGAAGAACTGCAGCCTGTGGGAAGGACTCACACTGGATAAGTACATGGAGGACTGTCTCCTGTGGGAGGGACCCCACGCTGGAGCAGGGGAAGAGTGTGAGGAGTCCTCTCCTAAGGAGAAACGAGCGGCACAGACAACGTGTGATGAACTGACCACAACCCCCATTTCCTTTCCCTATGCACTGCTGGGGGTGAGGAGGTAGAGAAAATTGGGAGTGAAGCTGAGTCCAGGAGGAAGACGGGAGTAAAACCAAATAAAAACCCAGTAAAACCAAACCCTGCTTTGGTTTTATTTCTCATTACCCTACTCTGGTTGGTAATAAATTCAACTGATTTCCCCAAGTTTATTCTGTTTTGCCCATGACAGTAACTGGTGAGTGATCTCCTCCTGCTCTTATCTCTACCCATCAGCCATTTGTGATATTTTCACTCCTGTTCAGCTGCAAAGGGGAAGTGATGGAGCTGCTCTGGTGGGCACCTGGTGTCCACCCGGTGTCCACCCAGGGTCAACCCACCACTGGGTATATATGGAAGCACACAAGTATTCCTGGTATGTTTCCAAAAATCACTGCAAAAATTTTGCCTCTCCCCAATGGCAAACCCAGGTTTTGCACAAGGAACATCTAGGAACTACCCTGTGCTCACTGTGAACACCATCTCTAATATACATCTCTAAAAATACACACTTTGCATATATACAATATATATAACTTCTTCTCCTAAACTGCAGTTTATATTTCTTTAACACAGGCTCTACAAACCACAGTCAAGTAACAAAGGAAAAGCAATTTTGCATTGCTTTTTAACATATGTAGTGATCTTCTCTACTTCTCAACAGGCCTCCAACATGACAGGAAGTTGGGAACTTTTGACCTCACTCATTACTATTGCACAGCTCTGGAGGGTTTGTTTAGTGAAAAAAACATGCTGGCTTTTGGGAAACAATGTCATTGCAAATCTCTCAAGGCTAATTCTTGATGACAGCCACTGTAAATATACTGGAACGTGCATAGAGCTGCAGCCTGGTTCTATTAAAGGCAACACAAGTTTCACCACTAAATTCAGCAGGACCTTGAACCAGTCCATAATGAGTAACATGAAATAAGATCTCAGTCCATAAAGCAAAAAAAGGAGAAAGAAATGTGTGAACAGGATGTTGTGGATTAACTGCAAGGAGATGAAATACATAAAGCAGAAGTGTGCCATGTGGCTGCTTGAATTGACCTGTGAATGTTTTACATATGAGCTCTGTATGATCTGCTACAGAGCACTTACCCTCTTTCAAAGGAGAGGATTTTGAATGGAAAAAGCCTCTTATATTCAGCTTTTCATGAGTTTATGGAAACAGATACAACAGGGAAAGCAAGATTAAAGACCCCATGGCTGAACAATTTAACTGTTAATATTTACTTGCCAATGCTTTGGTGTTTAAATCCCCAATTATTCCCCCCAGTTTTTACAGTTTGTATGGCACCAAGCCACAGAGCTGTGCTGTCCTCCCCACTCTGCAAACCTGGAGGGAGGGACTGCCTGAAAGGTTTTGCAATCTTTGTCTCACTACAGATGGTGTGGACTGACCCATGTTTTGCTAAAACTTAATGGTGTGTCTTCTAAAAGGACAGTAGAAAGAAATACACCACCTGTATCTGTGGCTCCCATATTTTAATCTACAAAATCCCAGAGACAGATAACATGTACAGTGCTTTTTTCAGGGTAATCACAACTTTCCACACCTGTGCTGGATGCAGAGGTTGAGATGGCAGCTGGAGAGGCAAAGATGCTCTGAATGGCCACCCAGGCACTATGTGCATACGAGATATTTCTAGGCACAGTCCTGACGTTGTTACCATAGCACATCCGCACTTATCAGTTGGTACAGTGCCTAAAACAAATTCTGAGACTACCGATTTAAAACCAGATCATCTCACACTATCGCCATCCCTGTGCACTCACGGGTCAGCTTTCACCAGGTCAGTAGAACCCAAAATACTCTTGAACTGAACACCAGGTTTGCTCTGTGACATAAAATACTTTGAGACTCAAATTGTGCAAGACACAGGTTAAGAGTTGCAATTGCAAGCTCAGTCTTCTACAAAGCTCAGCTCAATGCAGGGTTACAATTAAAGAACAAGCTCCCCGGTGCAGTGGGCCACCACCTCATGCTCAACAATGCCCAGCTCCTGTGGCCAGGCACAATGGAGGTGTGGACCATGGGCCAAATAACTGGTTACATCCCAGGCTGAGAGCAGGAAGGTGACAACTCATGTACATGAACAGGAGACATAGTAGAGGAGCTCAAGGCTGATGTCAGTTCTTGTGACTTATGTCCCATTACTGAACTTGAACGACCATGAGTGTTTAAATCCCTCAGGAAAGCCTTTGCTAACTGGCATACAGAAGCAAAGACTCCGGGATATTTTTTAATTTTTAATTTTTTTAAAGAAACACAAAAATTGGCACCTTAAGAAAATAAAGGTTTTCATGGAAAGCAAACCCCAGAACCTCATTTACCCTCCACTTCCAGACAAGTCTGAATTCAGGAGCAAAGAGAAAGAGGGAAAGAGCGAGCTTAGAAATGAAAATGTTTTCATTACCTTTTCTGCAAGCCAGCCTAGATGCCTAATCTCTCGACTTCCAGCAATCCCTGTTTTACCCAGCTGGTCTCTGACCTCTGCAATCACCCTGGGGATGAGCTCATTGACACTGGAGTGGATGGCATTGAACCAGGCCTGGGCTGTAGCTGAATCCTTACTCCTGAGCACCACGGTGTGCTTGGCATCAGGTGAATGAACTTCAATAAGTCTAGAAAAATGGGGGGGGAAAAACATTACGTTCACTTAGAGACTGTTAGGCAGCTAAATTTATTACCTTGCTCAGTGTTAGCAGTGAGCTAAAAAGAAAGATACTGATACCAAGACCTAGCACTAAAAACTTACCTTTACCACACCTGAATAGAGGACCATTCTAACTGAAGCCAGGTCTGCACTGGCGTTACAGTGAAATCCTTCAGAAGGGGATTTGCTGATGCAACCCCACATATAACATGTCAATAGGAGTTTCAAATAAAGACAAGAGAAGCATTCACCCCTTCACATTCACCGACATGGCAATCGCCCAGAAATGCATGGGAGATGACTGTGGAGAAGCCAGGGATAAGCTGCTGCCTTCTTTAGCTGGAGTTACATATGCAGAGCTAAATGAAAACCACCCTCATCCCAAATGGAGGAGTTTTCTTAGGATTGCACTCCTTTCTTAGGAGTGGTTTCAGTGACACCACTATGCATCAAACAGAAGCCCACCACAATTGACCACCTCCAGGATTTACAAACATCCTCAGTGCTCCATTTAGATCCTGCTAAGAATGGCAGCAAGAAAGCGCTAACTGCAAACACATGATTGCTGTTAGCAGGCATCTTTTACAGTTTTCCAAGCTCCTATGGAGAGGTATTTATTTTCCCCAAAACCATGCTTACTAGACCATCCTGTGGGCTTCAACCCCACCACTGTGGTTTGAAAAGGACAAGTGAACGCAGCTTTCAGGAAAATTAATCCTGTCCATCATGGTTATGGGACTTGTGCCAACACCTCTGCTAACAACAATATAAATGCTTTGAGAGGCAGCAGCAGCTATTTCAGCTCTGTTCTCAGTGAAGTTATAAGCTATTAGTGGGGCTTTGTGTGCCCTTTATAGCTTGTGGGCCACTTTAACTTGAACATTTATTAAATAACCCACAAAGTAATAGTCTGGTTTATCTTTATATAGCAATTTATAAACCAAACCCTGGTCACTGCCCATCACTCAACTCTGTATCACACTTGTGTTTTTTCATTACACACATACAGTGACTGCCCCTGAACATTAGCCACACAAATCCGACCTGGGATCTGAGCCTAAACACATAGTTCTGTCCTGTGTATTGATGCCCATTCTCTGGGACACACAATGACGCCTTTCTGTAGCAGAAAAGTAATTGGTTCAGTGGAATTTATTCAGGTTGAGGTTCGAAACAGTACTGTAATGCAAATATTTGTTATGCAATAACAAAACACTGCAATCTGGAGCTCAACTAACAATTAAAATGTTTTAATTAATTGGTTAAACCAGAGCAGAACCCAGAACACAGCGCAACTCAATCTGTGCAGGTCTCTGGGGCTCGGAGAGGGAGGACCGCTGCTCTCATGTTTGTCCATTTTGGGAAGGGGAGGTCTCCACGTAGACACTGCTCTAAAGATAGAAAAGGTCATGATTTTCCAAACTCAGCAGCTGAACTGTTCAGGGTACTAAATCACTTGTGGATAGCTGAAAAAAGTGGGTTGATTTTTCAAAAAGCACTGAGCAAACACAATAATGCGTGTTTCCTCTGTAAAACTACTGCAGCTCAGCACTGTCTGAAAATAAAAGCTATTTAGATGTTCCAGGATGTACTGAGGATTCAACTTCAGGTACCAAAAGAAAAATTCCTTAACAGATGACACTGGGCTGGTGAATGAGAAAACTATGCTCATAGATAGGCATGTTCCCAATCACACATTTCTTTTCTGAACTGAGACAAAAAGCTGTCCCTGATGGTTATGATTTGGCCATTTGTGTCCAATGATCATTACGATCACGTACAGCTACCACACCTGGGTCTGTCTTTCCATGAGAACCACTACTCTTCCACTACCCTAAGAACCAGAGTTCGAACTTACTCTTGTAGACAACTATCAACAAACTATGCAGACGTGGATTTTCAAAATACATTGGGGTAATCAGTAAATATTGCTTACTGCTCACAGGGCACTTTTTGGTGGGAGATATTACAGGTAAGGTCAGTGACAGCTTTCCCATTTCACCACCAAAAAGGTGGAAAGGTACGTTACCCAGAGAAAGAAGGGTAAAAATCAGGAGCAGCACTCAAAATTTCCTGCACTCTACCTCCTATTTTAATACTTCTTTTGACAACAAAAATTATTTGGATAGCACAGCAGTACTGTGCTGATTTTGAGAAATGTTAATGCACTGTATGGATTGTGTGAAACAGCGTTCTTTACTAAGCCTGTGGTTTCTATAAGGGAAATCCCACCTCCATAATCACTGTGTATGGTGCAGTAAACAAATCACTGAACAAGAACTATAAAGACTCATAAGAACATGCTGCTTTTTCAGCTGAAAAGGAACAGCAGCAAACTTGTGTATCTTTTTAAGTTAAGAGTTGTAGCAGGCTTTGGTTTAAAAATATATTATCTAGAGCTGAAAGAGTTTCCAAATGCAACTCACTTCCCTCCAATTTTGAAAATGCTTAAATTCTTACTTAAAGCAAGTGGATTAATTTACAAACAAGTATTCAGCTTTCATCAAAGTGTATTTCCCTTGACTGTGGCTATTGAAGTATTCAGTATTCTGCCCTTAAAATAAGGAACATTAGACAGCTCTTAACAATTCTGTTTTAGGGGTTCTAAACTACGCACATTCTAATACACACACATTCTACTGTGATATCAATGTACATATTCTAGCATATATATGCATACACACATATGGAGCCATGCTTGCAAAAATACTCATAAAGTATCATCCCTTCGTGACTTCTCATGGTGCTATTTTGGGGAGCGCTTGCTAGTCATCAACGTTTGATGGGGATGCACTATCAACTGCAGAAAGAGTACCTCGTTCCTTGAGCTGAGTGACAGGAAGATTGGGAAATATATATTACACTTCTCAAAAGTGAGCTCAAAATGGGAATAAATGCTGCTTTGACAGCGCTGAAATTGTTTCCTTTACCCATGGCACTGGTCCAGCCCAAGGAATACGTCTGTGAACATCACTGATGTGGAAGCTGCTAGGTAGGGCATCTTTCTAATTCATACCTTAAGGATGAAAGTCTAAATCCTCAACTGCCTGAACTCTGCTGCTGGCTACTGCTGTAAGATCTGGGCACTAAACTATGCTTAGAAAACCAGGCTTGCAGATTTCCACTAAAGATCCACGACTCCTGTCTCCTCAGTCAATTGGGATGGAGGTACTAAACCAAACTTAAAATCTTCCTGGAAACCCATGGCCTCTAACTGCAATCAGATGCTGCAAGTGTTTTGTACCTATAAACCCTCCCCTTTTCTGCTTTCCAGCCTACAGTGCTTTGATTCACCAATCCATTTGGATGATGCTTTATGTGTAACAGCTGACTGATGGCATTTCCATATTTTTTGAAAAGCAAAAACAATACCAATGACCTTAATAAACTCCAACACTAAAGCACTTAAATGTTTCCAGCAGTCCAGCCATTGTAGCTTTGATTTGCTCCTTGGCTAAACTGACCACTGCTTACTGACTTCTGTTTAGCTGCAGTTCAGTGATAAAGTTCCCTTAATTCCCTGCTGAATTGAAATATTTAGGGCAATGCCACAGCTGTGTTTATTCTCACACTCCACCACAGTTATGTAAATACTGCATATGGAGCTGTTTCTGATAAAGCCCATACCAACCCAAAGGAATTATATGTTAGCTCTAGATGGCTGCCAAGATGCGCGGCATCTCTCCAGCTTGGCAATGCATATGAATGATATCACATTTTCTCAGAGATCATTTGGCAAACCTTATAATAAAAGAGTAATTTTCCCTCTCCTTCTCAAAGAGTCCCACTGAGCCTCAGTGTTTCCAGCATCCCCTTCTCCACCCGCAGAACACGGGGTGACACAAAACGCAGCACCTCCCAATGCTGTAACCTTGCATGTACGAGGCCAAAACTAGCTCCCCTTGCTTCATTATCCAGAATTTTTACTTTACAGAGGATCAGAAGTTGAAAGCAAATGTTTGATAGAGCATACTTATTCTACATTTGATAAGGACTCTTTCTGTAGGAGTGTTCATTATCTAAGAAATACCTTTTATCAAATCTCTTGAAAGCACTTCTCCCACCAGCATTGGCTCAGGACCAAATCAGGCACTGATTTACACTTTATACCTCCTCCTGGGTCAGATTATGCATTCAGTGACTGATTAAAGTGTGGAGTAAATCCCTTGAAGTTAATGATAAGCTGGAGCCAGAGTTATTCAAGTTCATCGCGCTACTTTGATTTTACACCAGCATAGCCAGAAACACAACACTCTGACACAGGCTGAAAACTTAGAAAGGGATCAAGGGCCAAACTGATTACTCCATCTCCTCTATCATTCTTTGCACGTGAAACCACAGTAAGCAATTTTGTTGATTTCTGAGTGTAGAAACACAGGAGCCTTTCCAGCATAAGGGGGCACTTCAAGGAACACAGAGATTATATTTAAATTGTTGCAGGTTTTGTTATAAGTAAAATATATAGATCCTTTTTCAATTCTACATGTGGAATCAGGAGATGCACCAGGAATAAAATGCATTAAATTAAATAATGGAAACTTAGGGTTTAGTCTGCAAGGAAAATATACCAGAGATTCTGCTAGAATTGCAATGAATGCCACAGCATACAATGAAGAAGCATCTTCATTTGATACACCTAAATGGAGGTGAAAGTAATTTTAACAAGTGGTAATCAAGTGGATTTCTTCTATATGAAAGGCTCTGAGCCCCCTCGCCATCACAAGGGTACCTGCTGTCTTAACTTACAGCGGTAAAAACACTACATACTTGTTTCTTGGGAGCTGGACTAGACAGGTACAGAGGGCGTGTGTATCCCTAATGAGCTGCCACAGTTGTGTTCATTTCTATTTGACACCAGCTGGGCTTTGATAAAAGGGATACCAGTGGAGTTGCACTGCATGCAAGTAAGGAAAGAAGCTGATTCTGTAATGGACTTGCTCACACTGCTGTGTGCCAATACTGAGCAAT